ACGATAATAGCATTGGCATCTGCTCTTCTATTTTTCTGGAAACTAGATTGAGTTGGATGAATGATGTGTTTCAGAACTAGTTTTAGTCTGTTAACAATTATTTTCGTAATAATCGTATAGATTGTATTGCAAAGACTAATAGGTCAGAATTGTGATATAGTGAATGCATTCTTATTTTTTGGAATTAGACAAATGAAGGTTGTATTTATAGAAGGATCAATTTGATGGTCCAAGAAAATTTTATGACAAAAATATTTGACAGAGTTCCCTATGATATGCCAATATTTTTGATAAAATAATGGATGTAATCCATCTGGCCCAGGAGCCTTTATAGGTTTAAAGGAATGGATGGTAGTGAGAATTTCATAATCTTGTAAAGGAGTTGTTAAACAAGACTGCTCATTTGATGTTAATATATTAAAAGGCTATAAAAAAGTTCTTTTAGTAGAAATAATTTTTTGAGTTGTAAAAAGATGATGGTAGTATTGTGTAATATCATCTTTAATCTGATGAGGGTCAGTAGTCCAATTACCCCCTAAGTCTTGAAGAGCAGTTATACGATTATGTCTTCTTCGATTTAATGTAGTAAGGTGGAAAAATTTGGTGTTAGCATCACCATTATTTAACTAATCGATTCTTGATTTTAACTTCCAAAATTCTTCCTCAAGCTTTAGAATGTTATTAATTTCTAAAGTTAATTTTTTTTCCAGATTTTGTAAAACATTACTCGTTGGATAGTGGAAAGAAGCTTGAATACCACCTAGTCGTGCCAATAATTTTTGTTTACGCTTAAAAATATTTCCAAAAGTAGCTTTATTCCATTCTTGTATTTTTTTTCGTGAATTGATTAATAGCAGGAAGTAAGTGCAATTTTTCTAGCTAAACTTGTTCGATCACTAACGAGAAAGAGGGGTGGATAGTCCATATAGTTTCTAATCTAAATTTTTTTTTTCTAGGCATTGAACAGTGTTGGAGCTCAATTTTAATCGGGCAATGATCGGAGTGAGTTTGGGGGAGGTGTGTAACTAAAGCATCAGGATAAGTAGTGATCCAACCATAATTAGCTAAAACACGATCAATACGTTCTAGTATGTTAATACTATTATGCCTACCATTTGTTCAAGTGTAACGACTACCCTTGTATCCTAAGTCTGTTAAGTGACAATAATTAATACAATCTAATAACTTACTAGCTCTTGAATTATTTATAGGTAATCCACCAAATTTGTCTACTGCATGTTTGCATAGCCAGGCTAAGTCATCGGCATTTGTCTATTTTTTTGTACAACCTAGCGACTCAATTAACATAGTGGAGATAATATATATTTTTGGGTAGCGTTACTGTGATAATCTCATGTTATGACTTGTTCATTTATGTTGAAGTCATTGCGTTATTATATGCTGAAATGTTAATTGCATAGATTATTACATTGTTATGCGATGACACCGGGTGCGGAGTTCCTTGGCATGTGTTTGATCGTGCGGCGGACGCACATATTCCCTTTATATGATTCATTAGATTACCTTTGTCGAGCGGCGGCCGATCCATAAAGTAAGTGAAACAATCGATTTAGGCCCATATTTTTGGGACCCCCATTATTTGTTATACCTATTAAATTATGTATAACTTTTTAAAAAAGTTCTGTACAGTGAAAAAGTTTGATTTCTTTATCAAGAAAATTGCACTTGTAATGAATATCGAGCCCGAATTTCGTAAGAAAATTGTGATATATAGGAAGTAACAATTTGATGCTAATGTTAATAATGAAATCTCAAAATCTTTCGAAAAGTACTTTAGAGTTGATTATTTTTATACATAATAGACAAGGCCATTTTTTCACTTCAAAATAGATTTGAACAATTCGCAACATATGAAAATATTTTTGGTTTTCTATTTGGCGGTAAATACTAAGATCACTAGATGTTGAAAATTCGAAAAAATATTGCCTTAATCTTGAATGTTCCGTAAAGCATAATAATCAATTGGTATTTAATGGTTTAAATTTATTTTCTGATAAAAGTATTAAGGAAAATAGTACAATTAGAAGATAACAGTTTAATTGATACACTTAATAAATAAAAAGATTTAATTCTTTTCCAAATGCATAAATTGCTTATGGAATAATGTTAATAACTCATGTTACCGCTGCTTCACAGGAAAGAAGTTTTCAAAATAAAAATTGATAAAATCTTACCTAAGATCAATAATGTCATAAGAAAAGTTAAACGGATTAGCTATGCTATCAATTGAGAAATATTTATTAGGAGTTATTGATTATAAGAAAATTACTAAAACTTTGCATCCAAGAAAAGCTAAAAAAAATAGAATTCAAATAAATAATAAAAAAAAATATTAAGGCCCCTCATAAAGTTTGGCTTTAGGCCACAAAATTTGTCGGGCCGCCTCTGCCTTTGCCCATGCTTAAGCACAAGCCCAATAATTTATATTGTGTGAAGATTGGGAGAAATTCAAAAATAGTCAGATTTACAAGTGGTCATTCAAAAATAGCCACAGTTTCAAAAATAATCGACAAAAACACTTTGACCTCCGCGAAAGCAAGATAAAGACCATTATAGAAGAAACTCTCTCTTTATACAAGCAAGGGAATCTTCCCCTTCGGATAGAAGAAGAATTTAGCCACTTTTCATGTAAAGATAAATTTGAACGAAAACACTATTCAAAATCCGAAAAAATACTCCAGTATAATATACTGGAACTTTCCGCGTGTTGGAGTTCCAGCATAATATGCTGGAATTTCATACACAGGATGCACCGATCTCCAGTGTATTATGCTGGAACTTTCCATATTGCAACAAAATAATGGTTATTTTTCAATGACTTTGCAAACGCTGGCTATTTTTGAATGACCAGTCCGAAAATGCTATATTTACGTGAAAATTCGTTTATCTTATGCTTATTAATTTGGTCTCTATATAAACTATTGTTGTATTTCGAATTCAATTAACAAAGCTAAAAATCTTATCTTTTTAGTCCTAGAGCAATAAAATTAATCATGGGAGCATATATGTATTTTTATATTGTCAATTTATTGAACTAAAAAGGTGATGAAATAAATATAAACTTCACTAAAGAACATTCAATTGTAATCTTTTTTTAAAATAATCTTGAAAAGGTAAAAATGCCTTATTTAATATTGTAATTTTTTGGGCTAATTCTTGATTCTATCTAGATAGCAAATTTAATTATGATATTTAATAAGTTTTGTTATTCAGATTGCTGCTCAATAGATGTTAAAAAAATTTATATGCAAGGTTTATTAACATGCAAGGTTCGTTCTTATCATTTTCATTTCCATTGAATTTTTTTTATTTCTATGGGATTTCAACGGGCTATAAAGGTTGTATTTGGAAGATCTTTTTATAGCATTTCTTTCGCTACAAATTTATCCAACTTTGATACAACTATAGTTACCAAATATAATCTTTGGCATGCATGTGACAACTCTTTTAGCGAATTAGACAAACTTTCACGAGAATAACTATCGATAATCATTACATTATGCACTAACATTAAAATACATTTGTTCAAAAAGTATTTCAATTGAAATAAAGATTTTCACTCATAAATATTCTAACTTTTTTCCTTGAGTCCGTTTTGAACGACCAAAAAAGCACTACTCCTAAATAATTAGTGTCATGTGATAGTGACACATAATTGATTAAGTGAAATCACGTTATTCACATTTGTATTTTTAACTAATTAAGTCTGTCTCTCTAAACAGTCTAAAATATGTATAGTACAAAAAGAGGAAGGGTCCATCTTGGGTATGTTGGATCTTGCAAAGTACTTGTTCTTCTACCTGGTTAAACCAAGCTGCTCTTGAAATAGTATACACGTGTTTTATGGAGTATATATTTGGTACAACTACTATCTAAAGAGTTGTTACAGCCAAAATAACCATAGTAAAAAGGTTTACAAAATAATTTAATAATTTTTTCGGTAAATAATTGATAACCTGGAAAAGAGAAGTTACATAAATAAGGTGGCATATATAGTAACTAAAGTGCACTAAATTTCAAGTAAAAATCAATATCATATAATATAATTTTAGTATATGATTTGCGAAAGTAATTCCAGAAAACTTTTATAAATTTGCTATTACAAATACAGAAGCGTAATTTGATGTTTGAAAATGTTCATCTTTTTGCGGAGTGAAATAAGACTCCGTTTGTCCACCAAAAAAAATTTGTTTTTTTTCAAAAAAATTCAAAAATGTGTTTGTCCATAAAATTTTGCAAGTTTTGAAAATTTTTCGGAAACGAGTTATTCAGAAAATCAAGTGGTCAAAACCACTTTTTCATAATTTTCAAAAAAAAAAATCCCACTCACAAAATTGCATCACTTTTTGAAGTGAAATGCATGTTCAAACATAATTTCAAATTTCAAATATTATTTTTCAACTTAACTTAATATAAAAATTTTTAAATTATAATTTTTATGTCCAAACGCCTACTAAAACTTCTAACAAAAGAGGGTGAAATAAATAAACAAGAATTAATCCAAATAGCCATCCACCCAATTACTTAACTAAAAAAAGTTGGTGAAAGTATAATATATGTGTAATTTATATATATATAATTATATATAATTAATGTATATGACAAAAAAAAAACAATAAATATGAACAAATATTTGTGTAAATATCCCATAAATAAAAGTGGAGTTTTCAACGGTCAGTACAATCACAGATAGAAATGGGCCCACAGAGAGAGTGCACTTGTCAGCCATAATGATTAAGTGAAATGAGCCCATTGTAAACATACACGATAGCACGGGCAAAAGTGTCTACGCAGCCAAAAAACTGATAAAGCATTGCACAATAATTGATTTTTTGGACCAATCAAACTAAACTAGCTCATATGTATTTACTAAAATGCCCTCTGGTCGGCAAACAAACGTACACGATAGCACGGGCGTGTAATATATTTTGTTTACGTTTCAGCGTTTAGACTTCTATCAAATTACTAAATAAGTGCAGGGATAATTAAAGCCAATATAAATAAAGAACTGAATAAAAGTCTTTAGTTCAGACAGCCCTAATTTTGTCATAAATAATGGAATTTCCTTTTGGACACCACCACCACCGTCGCGACGACGACGGTGGAGAGGAATTTCCACCTCCCGGACGACGACCACCACCGTCAGCCTACGACGAACCACCACCGTCAGAAGTTACCCATGTCTATCACACTTCCCATGTAGGTGGACCACCACCGATGGATCCCAATTATAACCGTCCTCATTATCCTCCACCGCCACCTATGGAGGACGATTATGGTCGGACTAGTTATCCTCCTCCGTCAATGGAGGATAGTTATGGTCGGACTAATTATCCGCCTCCGCGAATGGAGGAGAACTATGGTGGATCTTATAATCGTACACCGCCTTATTATGAGGGCCCGCCACCACCGCAACCACCTAGTTATTCCTCCGTCGAACACGTGTCTCACGAGAGTGAGAGTGAGAGCGTTCATCGTCAGCATGATCATCATCGTTTTCAACCACATGTGCCTTCATTCTTCCACCATGAGACCTCACCACATCCAGAGCTCATCGATAAGCCTTCATTTAGGGTTTATACAAAGGCTGATCCCAATTACTCTCTCACTATCCGTGACGGCAAAGTCGTTCTTGCCTCTTCTGATCCATCCGATCCTTTTCAAGTAGGTCCTTTTTCTTCTTTTTTTGAATTTTGTTGATTCTTTGCTGTGAATATGATGTAATTTTTTCTGTGTGAATTTGTTTGCAGCACTGGTATAAAGATGAGAAGTACAGCACTAAAGTGAAGGATGAAGAGGGGTTTCCAAGCTTTGCTCTGGTTAATAAAGCTGCAGGACTGGCCATGAAGCACTCTGTTGGCGCCTCTCACCCTGTATGTTCTGTATCTTGTTAACCATAAGCGCTGAAAAATAAAATAGATATTTGTTTGTTATTGAATGAATTGTTAAACCTTGATAGCCAACCCATTACTTTGTCCTGGAAAAGGATATTAGAGATTTCCACCTAAGACAAATGCTGTGACTTGCAAATGATGCATACTATGAATTTTTCACGGATTGACTAGAGAAATCAGAGAAATGGATCTTTTGAGATTTTTAATGTTGACTGCAAAGGATTAATAATTTATGTGAAGGCTCAGTTATGACTTCTTTTAGAAATACAGGATTCAAGCATGATTCAAGTATGCATTGTTTGGACACTATGGGGGAAGAGAAACCTTATATGTTCTGAAGGAAAGTTTAACCCAATATGTAGACTGAATAGTTTTTTTTTTTTTAATGATGAACATGGTTTTTTGGATTTTAGGTGCCCTCTAGAAGTACGGCTAACCCCTGAAAATAGCTTAATTCTTGGCATCAATACTGTTGTCTATATTCAAAACAGGCTGATTTTATCCACAAAAAAGAGGTGGAGGGGTTTGTAAATGACAAACATAATACTAGTATGGATTTTAGGTGCCAAGAAGGTTTCATAAGCTTCACTATTTCTCTTTGATTTATTCATAGCATAGCTAGATAGATGAGATCTTGAACTTGCATAACTTATAGTCTATTGGTAATGAGCATAAGCTAGAAATTAAACAAATATCTAGAAGTTAAAGCACTATTGATATGCATTTATTATTAATTGGAATTTACTCTTTAAAAAGGAAAAAAAGGTGATGATGATTATGTGTGCATTACTTTTATCTAAAGCTATGTTGCGTGACTCCTGAAAATCCTCGCATTGTCGACACTACATGGGTGTGGGTGTCGGATCTACACTAGATTTGGAAAACTTACCGTGGGTGCTTTGACTATATCTATGATCGAGAAGTATTGATTGATCGGGTATCTAGTTTGATTTTGTAGGTTTATGTCATATATATTATGAAGAATTTATTAGGTGTTTATAAAGAATTAAACTTTACCATTAGTCTTTGCTCACTAACTTTAATTAATAGAAACATATACTTATAAATGTCGTAACGTGCATATATTAGCCGTATCTAAGCACCCGTATTCGCACTTGGATCCATACCCTCAAATTCTAAAACTCATATGATGAAGAAGCCGACCTCTAGATCCGCACTCGTATATCCGCACCCGAGTTCGAGCAATTAGGATCAAAATAGAACTAAAGCAGAGCAATATTGTTCCATGCTGATTCCAGTACATGGATGATTTATTCGTCCAAGTATGTGTGCTGATTCACTGCAACACCCGCAATTCTGCATCGTTACACCAGTTTGACCATGTTGTAGAGAGAATAGTTGGAAGCATTTTCATACTAGCTCTAGCTTTAGTTCATCTACTTTTTTCTCCTACAGTATCTGCACTCTCTTCAATTAAGAAATAATGTGCAATGGGTGTGAGATAAACTGAGGCTATGGTGAAATTAGAACTAGAGGCATCGTGGCCATGTTGAGTTTAAGTTTTGAATTCATTAACTGCAGAAAACCTTTAAGTTGCTAAGAGGAAATTAGTGAAACATAGACGTTTGTGGCTACTATTTGTGGGATACACTGGGTTTGTTGTTGTTGTTGTTGTTATAGGCATTTGTGGCTTGGGTTTATACAAGAAGAATTTGCATCTTAAACTTGATTCTTTGTGATGTGAATTGCTATTGTTATGTTGCCTATTTAAGTACTATATGTGATTTCAACTAATATTACCCTTGCTCCATGCACCTTGATTGTTGCAAATGCATGAGTATGGAATTTACATATGCTTGAAGGTAATTAACACACTGATGTTCAAGGGCCTTGCCTTCCTGATGTTACATGGCTTTTGACTGGAAGGTGAGTTACATTCCTATTAAAATTCCTCTACAGGTGCAGCTCACCCCTTACGACCCTGATGTTCTTGATGCATCAGTCTTGTGGACAGAGAGCAGGGACGTGAGTGATGGTTATCGAGCAGTTAGGATGGTTAATAACATTCGCCTCAATCTAGATGCATGGAATGCTGATAAAGAACATGGAGGTGTCCGTGACGGGACCATTGTTGCTCTCTGGGAATGGTGGAAAGGAGACAACCGTAACCAACAATGGAAGATCGTTCCCTACTGTTAGTCTTGCAACGTAAAAAATGATTTTTTTGCTTGGAAAGCCTAGAACCTGAATTCCTCTCTCTTCTTTGTCTTCAAGTTTATATTCCATTTAAAATTTAGCCATCCTCGCCCTTAAGGCCATTGATTCTTTTATCTGTCTTCTTTTTGCATTCTCACACTTAGCCTCCATGTTGTTTGATATAAATTACTTTCACGAAAACTATTTTCTCAATGAAATGTATTCCTCAGCGAAATATTTCCGGTGTTTAGTAGTCTCAGGTCTATTTAAGCCTTAATATGCTTTAACTGGAAATTTTCTGTCCTCTTATTATATCTGATACTCTTTCATCAACATAGCTACCCTCCCACAGTACCTTATCACCAAGCACCACCACCCCCTACTGTTTTGTGCAACCAAAAAACCAAAAATTATGTAGGAAAGATGTGTTCTTTATAATACATTCTCATAAACTTTATTATTACCTAGTGATTCAGTACCAAACCTATTTTAATTAAGCTAGATGTCATTTACTTGTCAGTTAACAAGCAATAGGGGATGCTACCATCAGCTTTCATCCCAATAATTTTACACTTTTTGTTTTTTATTTTTCATGCATTTATATTAATTAATTTTTCCCTAAATAATTTAATTGCAGGATATGTTGGCTCGTGAATGATGACTGGACGAGTTTAAATAATGGAGTTGATGCTTGGTGTTTTTTTTATTGTGTGGCTTATTACGCATTTTGTATTGTATTCAATGTCCCTCCAAGAATGTAAAAGAAATTGAAAGCAAGGGAAATACTATGTATTGTGTGGGAGGTGACATGGCTATGGTATGTATGTGTTTTAATTTCTATTTTGTGCTCGGTAGTTTGTGCCTGTTTATCTTCTTTCTTATTACTAAGATATATGACAAAGGATCACAACAGCCTTATGAAGCCATAAATTTAGCCATCCGGCAGTTGGGAGTGTGCTTATAGTTGCTAAAACAGTTCCTTATTTTTATGTTTTACCAATACAATGGAAAATTTTCTTACTGGGCAACCATCCTTCCAGGAGGAAAGGGTGTACTACTACTTTTGGCCATTGATTTCTTACTATCTGGCTATTTGGCGTTAAAAGCTAGTGAACAAGTGCTTTCTGAACTAGTTGAATTAGCTGCTCCCTCTGATGGCAATGGTGCGAACGGAGAAGCTCTTACGCTGCGGATGGGTTGAATTAGTTACACGATTTTTTTTTTGAAAATTTAAGCAGAGGGGGATGTGTTGCAGGTTAGATAACTGTGGTCATTACTGATCCATGAGGGGAAGCACCATATCTGGTGCTTTTTTTTATGTGCATAACCTACCGGGTAATATTTTTATAGTAAAAACTGCTTTGTCCATATATTAAATATTTGTATTCATATTAACTCAGTTATAGTGAACTAAATGGTGACTGACTCGTAGCTCTAAATACATGAGTACACGCACATGAAGAGAGAGGTAGCTTATTGTCCAAGAAAAAAAGTAGCCCTGGGTTCTTGGTAGAAGCCAGACATCTAAGTTTTCCTTAAGTAGGTTAAACTTTAAATAAAAGTACTCCAAGTAATTCAGAGTAAGCTTTATTCTCAAAAAAATAATTCTTTAATCGACGATTGAGCCTTTACCTTCTATGTATGGAATTTTTGAAAATTCTTTTGTTGTCTTCTCTTTGTATATTAACCTCATTGACAGAATGAAGACTGTATATGCTCATGCTTTATCTCCCACAAAGAGTTGTTCTTAGTTTTCCTAAGAGAAAGAAAAAAGACAGACAACATCTCAAAGATTGTCGGCAATTTTTAGAAGTGTTTGACGACCAAGTACTTACTAGGATATTTTTTTTGTTAGTTACTCTAGTGTGAGCAGGAGTTTGGGATTAAATAATTCATGCCAGCTAGTTTACAACACTCTTTTCATAAACTAGTAGAAACCGAAGCTCCAGATATTTTACATTGCACACATGATTCTGCATAGTGAAATGAGCTCGTAGTTAACATGCTACTGCAGATTCTGAGAGTCGAAATTTGCATTCAATATCATTTGCATCAAATACCTATTGTCATCAATACAAGAATTCTATCCAAAGCCATCACTAGTTAAATAAGTCCTCGCACCTGTTTCACCGACTCACCACTGAAACAACACTGTTCTCATAAACTATAAACAACAAAGAATTAACAACCAATCATTGAGCTCCAGCATATCAATTGTGCTTCAATGTACTGATCACAATAACTTCTGTGTGTTTTTGGCTCCAGATACAAATCTTGTGAAACCACTGTGTAGGTAAAACCTGACAGCCTGCCCATATTTTGACCTTCTCCGGTCCTGGAAGGAATCCCTACTTTCCTTGCTTCCCTCAGCAGCATCTTCATTAGCTTGACCGCCTCCTTTAATGTTACCTGGGCACAAGCTATCTAGTAACCAAAATGACGTTTGCAGCAATTACAGCCAAAAGTAAAAGATACAAGAAACTCTATCAGCACAGCTTTACCGAAGTCACTGTCCAAAAGATTATCTCACCGTACTGCATTCATTACAAACAAGAGATGAGTCGCATATAGATACTATGATTAAGGAATAACTACTTTGGTACAGTATTGAGGTTATTTAAGATATACGCGGAAAAAAACAATAATTAAAGCAAACTAAGCAATCCATCGTGTGCTTATATACCTGACTTAGAATGTTGAGCTGAGGGCTTAAATTACCCTTGTTGCAACTATTCTCTCTAGCTTGTTTTTGCTTTAGCAGGATCACGACCGAACTGAATGACGATAGGTTTGCCTTTAAAAACATACCCATTCACCAGATTCTGCAGTCATTCACTTCTTTGTATTAAATTTTTACAAGTATCATCAGGTGTAGTATACAGCTTCACATAACTCTAAGTTTAGCACCCATAACACATCAGCTAATTTCTAGATAGTACGGATGTGATATAAATTAAAGTATATGACTGAAATGATTTCCTTTAATCTATATAACACATTTTTAGGCAACTTGAGGAAACTAACCATATACATGAATAATCTCGCATTAAATAACCATAGGAAATTTGACACAAGTTCATGATTAAATTCAGAAGGTTCCTCACCTTCTAAATAAATCTAAGATTTTGCTAGAATTCGATTGAGAACTGTTGGGGTAGGCACTTGCACCATTTAAGGTACACCAAGAACAAAACCTTAATACCAACTGCTGGAGTTGAGCAGCAAATTTTATCAGCTTAGTGAAATTTGAATAGGCTACCAGAGACGCCAACAATTTGAAAATGTCAGCATAAGTCATATTACTAAAATACATCTAATGAGACTTGCAAAATGCTAACAGTGAAAGACAAAAGATTGTCTCGTATGTGGTGCTTTCGGATTAAGAGATTTATTTTTGAAAGAGGTTCATAAAAGCCTATAAGTACTTTTGCGGTGTTTACTTCACAATCATGCTGCCCAGGATGAAAACTAAATACCAAATTACCTGCTTTTCCTCTTGTTTCCCCCAGATTCTGCTATGTTTTGATATATGATTCCACGATCCAGCAGTTCAAAAAATAAATCCAATGCCACTTTAAAAGAGGAATGTGGATATCATAAATTTTAATGTTTGATATTGATTTCTTCGTTTTTCAATCTTCTAAACCATCCTTTTACCTCCTTCTGGCCTCCCCCCTTCTTTCCCCAATGAAAAGGAAATGACTGGCCTGCAGCATCATAGAGAGGAAGAAATAGCTTTGATTCGGAGTAGTATTTTAATAATGGAAGCATGATTCTTCTTTATTTTATTATTAAGAAGATTAGATTGGGAATTACTATTGTACCATTGTAGATAAATAGCTCCAACTTTATCAGGTTCTTTCAAATTTCATGAACAAATATTTTTCTTCCAGTGGAAGGATAACCTATATAAGCAGTCATTCCAAAATCAGGCTCATACCAGTAACTTTAAGAAATACATCAACTGAAAATTTTACTACGTATAGACCATCAAAGGAAATGAAATGAAGACAAGAAACATCTTGAGCTAACTAAAGCATAATAAAGAGGGAAATGTAACAAAAGAGGGAAATGTAACATACTAAAGCATCTTGAGCAAGTTCAACAGAGGGAAATGTAACAAAAGCTTGTCCACGCATTCTCCCTTCCTGGAAATGAAAATCAGATAATCATCAGCATTTAAGTCATGAATAAACAGCAAATTAACAATGGAAAGGGAGTACTGATTACTATCTCACCCTTCTACATGAGAATGCTATTTTTATGCCACAGGACAATCTATCTCTTGGCAACAAAACATATGGAACTAGAAAGGAGTACGTCAATTTTGTGGTCTGGATCAGGTAAGAAACAGACCAACAAAATGGCACTGGAATGAAGAAAGTGAAACTTATAGTTAAATAGAGAAGTAGATTACCAATTGATTTTCTCACCAAGTTGATGAAATTGGCCCTAAATTAGCTTAAGATATAATGAGCTTTTGCTGAGTTAGATAATGTTTAACCAGTCCCCTGACATCATACCCTTCACCAAGCAGGGAGTTTATGCTAATTGTACAAAGTGCATCATGCCTTTTAAGTCATCAATTCAGTTAAATCTTCCTCAATTGTTCCAGAAGAAATATAGAGACCAGGGTTTGGTTCAATACGAGTGTCATGATTTTTGTTATCAAGAAGCAACTAAGGAAAAAGGAGAAACATCAAACGGAAGAAATGTGATAAGAATATCAGTAACACAACCTTTCAAGCCTTGTAACGAAGATATTCAGTGATATCATTAACCGCGCTAGCCTCGGCATGGAAGTTATACTTGAACGTACTGCTCATTACTTCCCTCTAGACCTAGCAGCTATTGAAGCTTCATCTAAGAATGGAAATATTTCCAGATGCTTCACACGAAGAGAGGTCATTCTCCCCTTTGTATATATAGAAGAACATTATAAACTTTCTTTCAACCTTCCTTTAACTGGGTTTATCACTCTCTTTCACCAAACTATTATCATTCTAACTCAACTCCTGAGTGCTTAGAGTCCCAATTTATTGTCAGCCAATGCCAATAGAGCCTAATGGGTGGCATTAAGAAGTTGACTGGCACTGTAACCAGCTTGCCAGATTGACAGTTTTCTTTATGTAACAGAAGACTTTACAATTTTAAGAAGCACACATATTCTCAATGGGCCCATGTATGACATATCACATATCAACCAAACCTACAGAGGAGCCACGTGTCACAAAAGTGGAGCCAAGACCTCACATTGGATGATCAGATAGGGTAATTTAGATAGTGTTCCTTATATTTTTCCAGCATAAACTCCCAAAAGAACTTGGAGTTATATCAAATAGTGGATATATAAAGCTTCAAGTTTTCACGTATTATTAAAGGTAGATAAATACAGATGAACCTCACCTGCATTAGCTTCACTGCCAGTCTGGATTTAGCTTCATCGATGCTTCCAAATAAAGATCCTGCAAACATTATAGCTGATATAATGGTTCTAGTGACAAAACATGAGTTTCTAGTAAGTAACAAATCCATTGAACTAACTTCTTGTTATCCATTTTTTTGAAGGGGAAAAGAAAAAGTTGTCGAGGTATTGAACTACAAGGAACTCTTAAGGAAAAAGTCGGAAAAACGTGTTTTAGCTTGTTAATGGATATGTACATTAATGCTTACCAAATATGAAGTAAAAATCATCAACAATCACTTCTTTTGCTAAGTTCTTCAAGTACAAGATAGGAGAAGGATTACCAGCACAATAATTCTGCATAAAGGAAAGCCCATGAGTTAAATATCCATCAGCCCTTTGCTGGGGATGTCCAAGAACCAACTTAATGCTTGGCTTTGCTCATAAAAAAAACTTTTGATTTACTGATAACAAAAAATGAATTAGTATAGCACAATTTATAGACTGGAAAGATACAATCTTAATGAATTCCTAATAGCAACTACTTGTCAGCTTAAGTAAACTAAACAGAAACCCTACTTATCAACAAAAAAGTCACTTCTTCTCACAAAGGAGACTAAGCAGCTAAAAACTATTAGAAAAAGTCTGCTGTATTTAGCATGAACAATCTCATAAGCTCATAAACAAATTTTCAGCAACCAGTTTAGTTCTATTCCTTTTCCTGCCATTTCTCCAAAATCAAGAACATTTCATGGAGATGATTAGCCATCTATAGAAGTAAATGCAGAAATAACCAGGCATCTTTTACTTCACTGCCCAGTTTCAGCAGATCTATAGAACATGTTTTTGTCTCTTTTTGGAATGGACTGGATAATGCCTGGGAGTTTAATGGAAGCCTTTTTGAACTGGAACAGCTGGAAAGTTGGTAGAACCATCAAGAAAATCTGGAAACTAATTCCTTTCTGTATTTTTTGGTGTATTTGGAATGAGAAGAATAAGAGATGTTTTGATGGAATAGCAACTCCAAACCACTTCCACAAGGCTAAATGTCTTTTACTTTTGTACCGTTGGAGTACCTAACACCTGTGAACTCCCCAGACAACTTTTTGGACTTTGTTAACTCTTTAACCCTAGTATCGGACTCATTGTACTGGAGCTAGCAAATCTTTTGTATCTATATTTCTGCATCTTCTTGATGCCATTTATAATATCTCTTACTTTATCAAAAAAAAAAAAAAAAAAAAAAAAAAAAAAAGATAAACTTTCTGGACATCATTTTTGGTTTCCACATACATAACTTCAAGCAATTCAAAGTAATTAGCCAAGAGCCTCTACACTTAAGAATCTTAAAAGGAATTCAAATAGGAAAGCAGGTGTTTGCTCAATATGCTCGGATCCCTAATATACATATTTCCCTAGTGACCTAGTTAGTATTTAGAAGTTAAACAGATAGGACTCTTTTTCCATGATTTTTAGTATTTTATTTCTGTTATACCTAATTTTCAAAAGTGGTAGTTCGTACCCCATTTTCATGCAAATTCCACACTTCTATCTTAAATTAATCTATTCGTCTGATACAGACCAACATTCATCAAGTCAGTCATCATCAACAAGACTAGGCGGGTAATGATACCCCTAGAGGCATACTTAAGAAAATTAAAAAATAACTACTCCCTCTGTCCCATATTATGTGACATAGTTTGACTGGGTAAGGACGTTAAGAAAGACTTTGAACTTTGTGGTCAGAAGCAAGCTATAGATATATGTGTGGCGGTAGATAATCTCAAAAAGTATAAAATGGGAAGTTAAATTGTTGCTAAATATAGAAAGGCGTCATTCTTTTTAAGACAAACTAAAAAGGAAAGTGTGCTACCTAAATGGAACAAAGGGAGTATAATGTATTAGAATTATTAATGAGATATGATAAGCTGGTATTATTTAAGTGTGCCGTGCCCTAGGCCTGTTGCCCCTCTAATGATGCAGTCCAAGAAGAACAGCTGAAGAAACTATATGTAATGAAAGCATAATTTAAGAATGGTTGATTCCTGAATACAAACAAAAAGGGAGTTACAGTCTGATTTAGTGTCAGATTATTTTATCATAGTTGTTGGTTTCTGAAAACTTTTGCTGCAAGGTGTTATATGATTCACAGTTCACATACTCTACCTTACTAAATAAAAAAAATATAAAGATTCACAGTGTCCACATAACCCACAAAATCCTTTAGAAGAGCCTGAATTGATAAACCTCATTTAATTTACCTTAGGTGCCAATTATGTTTTGGTGACTTGAATTTACTGAAATAAACAACCAGAAGAATTCATTTCCTAGTTGTTGGTTTATTAATCCTTCATGGCGAAAAAGAAATCCTTCATGGGGTAGGATTGGATAGATTCTTTTCTTAACTGAGAAATCCCTGAAGGCCACTAGCGCATGGTTCGAAAGTCGCTGATAATGGGCTCGGCTGTTATGCTCAACTTAATTACCCAGCTATTGTTTGTGGCAGGTTTAAACCCGTGACATGCGCTTAATCCACACATCACATGATGTGCTCTTACCACGAGGCAAAATCCTGGGGGCAGTGGCGAAGCCAGGAATTTTTTCAAGGGTGTTCAAACTTGAAAGAAGTGAAAATATTCTCCAACAAAGAGTGTTCAATATATGTTATATACCTATACAACCTAATATTTTACCTATATACCCGGTGCTATTTTCCGACGAAGGGTGGTCAAGTGACCACCCTTTCAGACATATGGCTTCGCCTATGCCTGGGGTAATTAGATTTTTGATGAAAAAATGTTTCAATTTATGTGAACGTATTTAACTGGACGCGAAATTTAAGAAAAGAAGGAAGACTTTTGGAACTTGTGATCTTAAACATATCATAACATTTGAGTGGTTAGAAGACTTTTGAAATTTTATGGTCTTAGACATGCCATCACATTGCTATAAAAGGTTCTCATTAAGATAAAATAGAAAGTTCAAACAAAATTGTTTCCAAAATTGAAAAGGAGTCATTCTTTTGTTGTATATGTTGAAGGAATGCAAAAGATCTAACATAGAGCTCATATCCGATACAATTTTTTCCTATACCATAAGTATAGACTCTTCAAACATCTATTTTTAACATTAACTATGTTTTCTTTACTATAATTAAAACATATGTTATTCCTTGTTATTTCTCTCCTGCCGGATATTCCAGAAAAAGTTGCAGTGGGACTTTCCTCCAGAAAGTCTTCATTGTAAAATTGCTCCAAAGTCTTAAAGATATCATCTCTCAAGATGTACCAACAGTTTTGACAGAAGGCCGTATTGAAATCATCGGGCCAGGCGCTTTGTCACCATCGAACATCTTGATCACAGCATCAAGTTCCTCCAACGTGAATGCCCTTTGCAGCCATTTACTATCTTCTATGGATAAGGTTCCAAGGATCGTCCTATCCCTAAAGGAACTAAGGCCTCATTTCTTTGCACTTAATGGAGGTCTGAATCTTAATCATTCAGATCTCACATATTAAGTGTGTTTGTTTTTTAAAGTCTCATTCAAATCTTGATCATTAAGTGTGTGCTTTTTTTTAATTTCACAACCACTTAATGGGTCTGAATAGGTCTGAACGATTAAGATCTATAACAGAGACTTAATTTCATTAAAATGTTTCTATCCACATTTACAATTAATTACCGCCATTGCCCACCATTATCAACTACCACCATGCACCACCCACTACCTCCATACTCAACCACCACCACCGACCACCACCATCCTCAAGTATAATCGTCACCGCCATCATTATTGACTACCACCACCGACCACCTCACCATTATTGACTACCACCACGTCTCACCACCCCCACAATTATAAACTACCACCGCCATTACCACCATCATCCTCAACCACAACCATCCACCTATGACCTACCCACCGTTAACTACCACCACTATTATTAACCATAACAACTAGTACCCACCGTTATGAACTACCACCACTTTCCTCAACCACCACCCACCATTAGCAACCATATTCTCCACTACCCATCACTACTAGCTACTACCTCGAACCACCACTATCAACCAAAACCACTACTAACGAGCACCTCTAGTAATCCACAAATACCACCGTTAGCCATCAACTACCATATATTAATTTAAATTCATCAATTCTTATATAAAGATAAATTTTATTAATTCAGATGTTGAAAAACAAACAGTCTTAATTATTCAGTATTCAGATCTTAATACACATCTTAACATTCAAATGTGTATTCAGATTCAGACATCTTAATCTTAATATATATCTTGATATTCAAATGTGCATTCAGACGTCTTAATCTTTTTTTTTAAAATGAGGCCTAAGTCATTCCATTACAAGACTTTGCCCTAGATCCACTTCCTTTAGCTCTTAATAAATTGACTAATGAATATCATAAGAAACATGAACTACCAAGTAACAGGACCACAGATAAAACTTAAAAGACTAACTGCAAATCCAATCTGCACACAAGCGGTCCATGGGAAAAAGTAAAGTGCCCAAACTTCCAGTACCTTAAACATAGGAAGCGACAGAATCTCTTCTGGGGGCAATCTTCCACTTTTTAATTCTTCAAGGGTCGCAAAAGTTTTATTATCATTCTCTTTATCTTCCACCGGCAATGATATTTCCCTCATGTCACCCTTCTCTTCATTCTGTACCTGCTTAGGTGCTACTTTA